TTAGAACTGATTGCTAATTGCTATACCCCTATTGTGCCAAGCAGAATTGTAAGATGGACCCCAAGGACTCTACCCCTTGGTATGCATAATCCTTGAGACTTTGAATAGGATGGATTTTATTCCCATGATTAGTTTGTTATATGACACAATTGACTTTAAAAAGGGAGATTATCCAGGATATGAGTTGGCCTTAATTGGGTGAACCCTTAAAAGCCTCTTCCTGGAATTAGGAATTTGAAGCATCAGGGGGATTTGACACAGAAATATCCTCTTATTGTCAGCTTTGAAAATTAAAGAGACCTCTGGCAAGGAATGAAGGCAGCCTGTAAGAGCTGAGAATGATCCCAGGTGACAGCCAGCAAGGAAATGGAGACCTCAGTCCTTCAACTCCAAGAACTGAATCCTACCAATAATCTGAAGAGAACATTTAGCTCCAAATGAGAATTTGTCCTGTCAACACCTTGACTTCAGCCTTTTGAGACCCTAAGCAGATAACCCAGGTAACTTCACCTGGACTTCTGACTTCAGACTGTTGTTTAAACTGCTACATTTATATTATAGTAATTTGTTATGCAGCAAAAGGAAGCTAATATACTTTTTAATTTCAAATAAACAAAAGTGAGTATTTTTATTATTTATTTATTTCACCATATTATGGGGGTACAAAGTTTAAGGTTTCAATAAATGTCCTTTCCTCCCCTCCCCCCACAAGTCTGAGTTTCCAGCAAGACCATCCCCCACATGGTGCACATCTCACTCATTATGTATGTATAAAAGTGGGTATTTTTAAATAAAGATATGAGGGTATCTCAGGAAACCTAGGGAAGGATTATAGCTCAACTCAAATAGGACAGGAATTGGACACTGCAAAATTAAATCAATACTACACTTATTGTCATAAACAAGAACATAATAATAATAATAGTGATGGGGTTCAGGACATGATACTGTTAGGTAGACAACTAGGGACCTCCAGCCCCTCCTGGGGAAAAGGTAGACAACTCCCATACCTGGGGGAAGAGGGAACACCAAAGGAATTTGCCAATCAGAACTTAGCATGCCAACTGCAAAAGAATGCAGAAGAGACTCTAGCCCAGGGGCCAAGCAGCATGGGTACAACAGAGTCTGGGAAGTGACCCAGAACAACAACAACAATCAGCTTTCAGAGAGTCTCATGGGAGATCCACATGTGCAGTAAGACTCAGGTTATAACTCCCAACTGTCCATCACAGTGGTTAAAATGGTGATACCTGAACCGCAAGGAGGGCCCAATTTAGACACTATAAAACAAGACCCAGACCGTAACCAAGGCCTTTTTGTGTGGACAAGACGTCCATTTGTGGTCTGTGGCAAATGTATCTTGCTTTCACACTGTAAATGTATGTCTTGTTCTTGCTCTGTAATCCTGCCTTTCTCTCCCCAATAAACCTTGTATTGTGCTTACCTTGCTTTCGGTATGTCTGGTCATTCTTTGGCCAAGAGTACACCAAGAACTGACATTTCAAACTGTGACCTGACATTACCTTAAACTGAAGGACTTTGAGCAAATGGTAGAAGCAGCAAGGTCACTCTGATCTTCCCCCTATCTGTCTCTCCTGAAGCATGTCAGCAAACCTAGAAAGGATTTTCTGACTTTCCCAGGATGCGGGTTATAAGACACTCATGTGGGAGGCGCCTTCCTTATACCCAGAGGAAAGGAGCATCTTTATCTCTGAAGACACAGAAACATAGAGAAGAATCTGAACAAACAGGACTTGCTAAGTTTCCCCCAGTTTATTATCATTAGAGCACACCCTTTCTGCCTATCATATTTTTCGATGACTATCCGTTCTTCTTCATCAAACCTACTAAAAAAACCCTCAGGTCTGTTTGGATTTTCATTTCCTTATGAAGGCTCCTACGTTATGTAAAACTTTAAATAAATGTGTATGCTTTTCCCTTGTTAATCTTTCATTTTGGAGGCCTTAGCTAGAGCCTAAAATAGGTAGAGGAAAGAATATTTTTCTCCCTTAGAGTAGACAAGGTGACTTGTTATCAAATAGAAAAACAGATTTTCTACAAAAGCAAAACAAAAAAGAAGATTTTTTCTGTAGACTCAATAAAAGACAAAGAGAAGAATGATATATTAATAGTATATAGAGAAAATAATAATCAAATAAAAATATATTCCCTGAAAAACTATCATTCAGGAACAAGAGAAAAAATACCCATATTTTCAAATAACAAAGGCAAACTTAGCAGACCACACTGAACAATGTACTTTAGAAAGAAAAAATAGTAAGTAAAGACATTGGAAAGATGTATAGTTAAATATTTTTTTTCTTTTTCAAAATATTAAGGACGTACAAATATTTTTGTTACATGGCTTGAATCAGAGCTACAAATGTGCCCATCACCCATATAGTGGCAGTGGAGGGAGCCCTATTACAACTTGGCCACAGCACCTGTCAGGTGAACGTGTCACCCCAGTGCTCTATCCTCCTATTCTTCCTTGTGCGTAGATGCCTGCTAATGTATCACTCGTCACCTTCTTTTTCACACTGAGTGTCCCACATTGTTTCTCTGTAATTTCTCAGTGTTCCTTCCAAGAAGAGCTATCCATAGGTAGTCATCTGCCTGCAGTTTGCACTTCTTTCCTTCAGAGCAGCATGCTTGTGGGCTGCTGCTAGTCTTCCATCCTTTTCAGATTTATAGTTAAATCTAAACAAGCTCTGGCTGTATGAAACATGTTCAACCATCCACTTGTCTTCTGGTTGTTTTTGGTTTTCTCTTCCTAATCACCTCCTATTCAATTAGTCTTTAAGTCCTGTGCATCTTAAATTTTAATGTATCTCCTGACAGTGCTACACCATTTTAGGAATTAGATTTAACAAGAGTATTCTACGACACTTTGAAAATTAACACCAGAATTATTTAGAGCCACTTTTAGGTTAACTAAATGCATACTACCACCTGCCATAGAGAATGAACTGAATCTTTCATTTATATTAATAGATAATGTTTTATTAAGATAGACCAGAAGGATCCTCAGTAAGACAACTGGAGCAGATATCTAATTATATCTGAAAGAGTGACACGATAACATTTTTTCTAAATTAAAAATTATTGTCTTTGGAAGACTTTCCCCAAAATTAAATTTGCTTACATCAACTTACTTTTTACAACTTAATTCATTTTTATTTTGTAAGTAACTTGTACTGATATACAATGAGAAAGTAAGAAGTTCCAAATGAGTATTATTGATGTTTCTCTATAATGACATATGATTTAAAATATTTCAAAATCAGACCATTTTGCCTTTTCATGAATGGTGTAGAATTTGGAGACAATCATAACCCTATTCATGTGCTCAAGATTACCATTACAGCTTCCTAACATGAATGTTAAATGATCCTAAATACTAAATGTTCCTACAGATATCCATGTTGTCACCCTTTGTGAGTAAGCTGTAATCATTTATCCAGGCAAGTGCTCCTCAAGTTTCCTCGTAAGATTTAAGTCATACCATCTGCTTGTCATAAAGCATGTGGATCTGCCCTCAGTCTGTGTACTTTGTAGCATACCCATACTCCAACACTTCATCAGAGAACACAACCTCAAAATCTCTCTGGGCAGTTTTAATAAAAGCTTGCCTGAAAGGATACAATTTACAGGATATAAGTTGTTTTAAAGATGTAAAGTACTCTGCCTTTTCGACATGCCTTCAGTTCTTTTTCTCAATCACATGAAACCAATACCAGATTACTTATTCAAACACTATTACCTTACCCTATTACAGTATCATTTTTACTGTGTTCCATTACTCTTTCAAATTTATCAAAGGACACTATATAAAAAAGATATATGAAATGTACTACTACTATAAAAAAAGTTGTGCATGATATTGTCCATCATATCACTCAATGGTCCCATACAAAATTCTATGTAATCGTGTGTGTGTGTGTGTGTGTGTGTGTGTGTGTGTGTATACGCATGCATGTGAAGGGATTAAGGTGGAGAGAGAGGGAGGAAGGGTTGGGGAGATTGAGTGGTAGGGGAAATCAGACAGCAGTTGTTTAATACAGGAAATCAATGTAAAGCATGTAAATTATGAGATTCATATAGATATCTGAGTATCTCCTTCTATCTTGTCTACCAGACATTAAGTTCAATTTTAACTGCAATGTTAGTTCTTTGGTCCTTATTTTCTACTGCTATGTACATTGTATTAGTATTTACTTAAATGTTTTTGTTGTATCAACCTTAAATTTGTTGTGAAAAGTGAGTTACAGAAAAGTGAAGATAAAACTCAGTGAATATGAAGGGGATGCTCAAAACGGATGCAGCCCTTCCCACACCCTACCTAGGCACATCATATTCAAGATGAAGAAAATAAAAGATAAGAAAAGATTTTGGGGCCTGGCACAGTGACTCACACCTGTAATGCTAGCACTCTGGGAGGCGGAGGCGGGCGGATTGTTTGAGCCCAGGAGTTCAAGACCAGCCTGAGCAAGAGTGAGACCCCCATCTCTACCAAAAAAAAAAAAGAAAGAAAGAAAGAAAGAAGAAGAAAGAAAGAAATTAGCTGGACAACTAAAAATATAAAGAAAAAATTAGCCGGGCATGGTGGCGCATGCCTGTAGCCCCAGCTACTTGGGAGGCTGAGGCAGGAGGATTGCTTGAGCCCAGGAGTTTGAGGTTGCTGTGAGCTAGGCTGACGCCACGGCACTCACTCTAAGCCTGGGCAACAGAGTGAGACTCTGGTTAAAAAAAAAAAAAAATTTTTTTTTTTAAAGAAGCCAAAGAGAAAAAAACAACTTACCTCTAAAGGAGCAAGGATAAGAGTTACAACTTACCTCTCGAAAGCCACGTTAGCAAGTGGGCTGAGATACTTAAAGTGTTGAGAGAAAAAAGCCACCAATCTAGAATTCTGTACCCTGAAAAATTATCCTTCGGAAGTAAAGTAGCAAAAATGACTTTCTCAGACAAAAATTGAGGGAATTTGTTGCTAGTAGACCTACCTTGAAAGAATTTCCTTGAAAGACCTTCGGAGGGGGCGAAAACGACGTAAGTCAGAAACAGGACCCGGGTATCGACTCCAGCCGCCCAGACGCTGGCACTGCGGTCATGGCGGAGGGGACGGCAGTGCTGAGGGGGAACAGGCCCGGCACCAAAGCGCAGGTACCATCTCCCCACCTCTTCTGCCAGACAACTCTCAGTGCCGCTCCTCGGGGAAGCTGGCTGCCACCACTGAGAGGCGGTTGGGCCAGGGCGGCGGGCGGAGGGAGACACCGTTGTTAAGGAGCCGCAGCCCCTCAGTTTGGCTGAGGCGGCAGCGAGGCCCGGGGAGCTCTGACCTGGGTGTGGGCGCGAGGGGCGGTGGGGGCGGGACTGCCGGTCACAAGCAGTGACTGCTTGTTATCACCCTACCCCTGAGCCCCAGCTGACTAACTTCTTTTTATGTCAGTGTATTAATGGGTGTAACAAATTTTAAGCGTTTCAAAAAAATCTTGCCCTCCTCCCCCCACAAGGTCTGCAGTTTTCCAGCATGACATCCCCCAGATGGCCTGCCACATCTCGACTCATTGTGTATGTTGGATACACCGCCCCCCCTGCCCTCCCCCTCCTCTCTCCTCCCCCAGGGAGAGGGTCGGAGGGCCGCGCTGTGACCCCCTCCCCAATACCCTATTACTGTAGTTCCTATGTGTCCACTTAGGTGCTGCTCAGTTATACCAGTTTGCTGTGAGTATATGTGGTGCTTGTTTTTCCATTCTGTGGATACTTCACTTAGTAGTATGGGTTCCAGCTCTAACCAGGAAAATATAAGATGTGCTATGTCACCGTTGTTTCTTTAGAGCTGAATAGTACTCCATGGTATACATATACCACATTTTTATTAATCCATTCTTGGATTGATGGGCACTTGGGCTGTTTCCACAGCCTTGCAATTATGAATTGTGCTGCTATAAACATCGTGCAGGTGTCTTTTTGTAGAGTGTCATTGCGTCTTTGGGTAGATGCCAGTAATGGGATTGCTGGATCAAATGGTAGATCCACTTGTATCCGCTTTAAGGTATCTCCATATTGCTTTCCACAGAGGTTGAACTAGTTTGCAGTCCCACCAGCAGTGTAGGAGTGTTCCTCTCTATCCGCATCCACGCCAGCATTTGTTGTTTGGGACTTTTTGATAAAGCCATTCTCACTGGGTTAAGTGATATCTCATTGGGTTTTGATTGCATTTCCCTGATGATTAGAGATGTTGAGCACTTTTTCATATGTTTGTTGGCCATTCTTCTGTCTTCTTTAGAAAAGTTTCTGTTTAAGTCCTTTACCCACTTTTCAATAGGGTTATTTGATTTTTTCTTGCTGATTTTCGTGAGTTCTAAGTAGATTCTAGTTATCAGCCCCTTATCAGATGCGTAGGATACAAAAATTTTCTCCCATTCTGTAGGTTGTCTGTTTACTTTCATGACTATTTCTTTGGCTGTGCAGAAGCTTTTCAGTTTGATCATGTCCCAGCTGACTAACTTTAGAGGGGTGCAGCAAGCCAGGTGGGGACCCCTGGGGTTTCCTGAGGGTTGGGGCCACTGGGGTGGAAGGGGGTGTAGACACACCTCCCTTGCCCCAGCTTCCAGTTCCTACCTGGCCTGTGAATTACTGCCTAGCTCCTACCAACTACCTTGTCTAGCCGGATGTGAGTGGGGACAATTTACTTCATCCTCCTCCTGTTGTTTGCTTTTGACCACCTCTCCCTGCTGCTCCCTGCGGCTGTTCTCTGGTCCAGCAAGTTTCCATCACCAGTTGTGACTTGTTAGATGTCATTCCTTGCGAATTTCCTTGTTAATATGTGTGAAACACAGTCAAGGAATGGACTGATTATAATTTCGTCAACTTTTCGTAGGGCAGTATTTCGGTTAAGTTGGTGATGGTTTAGGTATGGGTTCTTAGGTTTGGAAAAGATGAGATGCCTCACATTTAAAAAATCAGCTTGGCATTCAGATTTACTGAGTAATCTGCCAGCCGAAGTGGCTTGCTATGAAGTAGATGCTCTAAAATCAGAAGAGATGTGTTTAAAATGTAATTTTAAAGGAAAGTGATATAAGTGAAAAAGAACAAACAACCATGGAGCTATGATCATATGTCTGAGAATAAATTTTACTTTCTTTATAGAATTATGGAAAGGAGACCTTTCAGAGGGAGCTTGTAGGTATAGACACTTTCCACGATCCATGTTACAAATAAAGAAACAGCCAGAGAATGGATTGGATTTGCAACAGCAATAACACAAAAAGAACAGGTCTACCTTAAAACAAAACAAAACAAAAAGAAAAGATTGAGCATCAGAGAATTAATAAATAAAGGTACAATAAGGCTTTGTTTCCTATTCTTAAGTGGTCGAACAGATAACTGTTCAGAATAATAATAGGGGCAATGTATTAAGTGATTGTAGCTTTTTGAGAAATGAATGACAATGGCGTAAGTGACAAGAGGGAGGAATTGGGAATAATCTTGTATAAGTAATCTGAATTACCCTTGAAGTAGTGTAGTTACTTGGAAGTAAAAATTAGATAATTGAAAGTCTATTACAAATCTAGACAAACACTACAAAATAATTAACAAATATATTTGATATCCTAAGAGAGAAAACAAAATGGAATCATATAAAATGTTCAATTAAAATCAGAAAAGGCAGAAACAGAAGAGAAGTTTTTTAAAAAAGGAAAAGAAACCAAGAACAAGTTTAACAGGTAGTAAAGGGTTGCAAATATGCTAGATATTCACCCAGCTACATCAATAATCATTTCAAGTATAAATGGTCTAAGTACACTAATTTATAAAGGAAACTGACAGCAATGAAAGCTAAGACCGCCACTATATGTCATCTACAAGAAATATACTCTATATATAAGAATACAGAATAAATACAAAGTAAAAGGATGAAGGAAGATATACCACACTAACAAATCAGAAGAAAGCTGGAGTGGTTATATTAATGTCAGACAAAGCAGACCTCAAAACAAGAAGTATTATCAGGGATAAAGAGGGGTATTACATAATGAAGAAGGGGTCAATTTTCCAAGAAGACATAAGAGTTCTTAATGTGTCTGCACCTTAATGTGCATGTGCATCAAAATAGATCAGGCCAAAACTAATATAACTAAAGAGAAATAGAAAACTGCCACTGTATAGTCGGTCATATGTTGCTTAAAGATAGGTATACAGTCTGAGAAATGCATCAGGTGATTTTGTCATTGTGCAAACATCATAGGATGTATTTACACAACCTAGATGGTATAGCCAATTGTTCTAGGCTATACATTTGTACAGCGTGTTACTTACTGAAACTTAGGCAGTTGTTTCACAGTAAGTATTTGTGTATCTAAAAAACCTAAACATAGATGTGCAGCAAAAATACAATGTAAAAGATAAAAATTGTACACCAGTATGTGGTTCTTAACCATGAATGGAGCTTGAGGACTGGAAGTTGCTCTGAGCGAGTCAGTGAGTGAAGAGTGAGTGCATTGAAGGCCATATTACTGTACATTACTGTAGACTTTATAAACACCTTACACTTAGGCTATACTAAATTTATTTTTAAATATTTTTCTTTCTTCAATAATAAATTAAACAGCTTATTGTAACCTTTTTACTTTATAATCTTTTTAATTTTTCAACTCTTTTGTAATAACATAGCTTAAAACACAAGCATATTGCACAGCTGTACAAAAATATTCTCTTGCTTTATATCTTTATTCTATAAACATTTTCCTATTTAAATTTTTTAACTTTTAAATTTTTTATTAAAAACTAAGACATAAACACACACATTACACAGGGTCAAAATAATCAATTTCACTATCTTCCACCCCCACATCTTGTCACACTGGAAAGTCTTCAGAGGCAAAAAAAAAAAAAGAAAGAAAGATAGCACTATCATCTCCTGTGATAATAATGGCTTCTTCCAAAATACTTTCTGAAGACCATGCTTAAGTCTGTTTTACAGCTAATTTTTTTTGTAAGCAGAACTAAATCCTAAAATGGCAATAAAAAATATAGTATAGTAAAAACATAAGCAAGTAGCAATAGTCCTTTATTATCACCATCAAATATTATGTACTATATCTAATTATATGTCCTATACTTTTATATGACTGGCAGTGCAGTAGGTTTGTTTACACCAGCATCACTACAAATGCATGAGTAATGCATTACACTATGACCTTATGATGTTTATGACATCACTAGGTGATAGGAGTTTTTCAGCTCCATTGTAACTTATAGGACCGCCATTATATATGTGGTCCATGATTTCCTGAAACATCATTATGTGGCACATGACTTTATTTGGAGCCATCAACACACTTCTATTAGTAATTGAGAGATCCAGCAAGCAGAATATCAGTTAAGGATACAAATCAACTAAACAGCACCATCAATCAACTGAATCTATTTGACATTTATAGAATACTTCATCCAACAACACCACAATATGCATTATTCTCAAACTGACATAGAACATTCACCAAGATAGACTGTATGCTGAGCCATAAGACACAGCTTAACAAATCTAGAGAATAGAATTGTACCAAGTTGATCACAATGGAATTAAACTAGAAATTGATAACAAAAAATGGCCAGAAAATCCTACATTATTTGGAGATTAAACAACACTTCTAAATTACACATGAGTCAAAAAATAATCTCAAGAATAATTTTAAAAACATTTTTCACCAAATGAAAATGAAAATACAACTTGACAAAATATGTAGGATGCAGTGAAAACAGTGGTTAGATGGAAATTTGTCGCATGCAATGCATGGAATAGAAAAAGAAGAAAGATAAAAGATTAATAAACTAAGCTTTCACCTCAGGAAACTAGAAGAAGAAGAGAAATGTAAAAATCTACAAAAAGCAAAAGAAAAATTCATAATAAAAATTAGAGCAGATATCAATGACTCTTAAAACAGGAAAACAATGGAGAAAAATCAATAAAACCAAAAGCTGGTTCTCTGAAAAGATCAATAAATTTGACAGACTTCTAGCCAGGCTAACCAAGAAAAAAGGGGAGGAGACACAAATTATTAAAATAATATCATAAATTAAACAGGGATTATCACTGCCAATCCATGGACATTAAAATAATAATAAAGGAATGTTATGAACAACTATATACCCCCATATTTGATAAAATAAGCAAATTCCTCATAAAAACACAATCTACCAAAGCTGACATATGGACAAATAGATAACCTAAATAGGTCTATATTTATTAAAGAAATTGAATCACTAATTAATAATCTTCCAAAATAGAAGGCACCATATCAAGATGGTTTCATTGGTGAATACTTTCCAAC